TGTAGTTAACGGTAATGTCATTTTTAACAAGGAACAAAATAATTCATTATTAGCAGTAGACGGGTGAACAATGAAAATCTGTTCTGCTGACAGGTTCGTTCTTGAGATGTTGTTCAGATTGTTCTTCAGATTCAAATCTGTCAAATTTGTCCATCTGATGTTTTTTTTCTTTTTTCAACTTTTATTTATAAAGTAAAAAAAATGTGACTTTCTGCTCCCCAAAAATAATAGCCTGCCATCATGTAAGAAAGGTATCTGATATTGTACTGAGTTCTGTTCCTTGATCCTAGTGGCTAGTATACTACAAGCTCAATTCACAAAGCTTTAACACAAGGAAAATGGTTGCATTTTAGTTATGAGGATGTCATTTTCAAATCTCATTGGACTGGCTAAAAATAACTGTTAGTTTTTTTTTTTAATGAAACATCCTTCTCCTGGTGTATTACCTTTGTCAATTGAGTGTGAAAATTAAGGAAGCTCAGCAATAGGCCAAGGTGGCCCTTTAGATCCAGTCCAAAAAGCAAACAGCATCCTAAATGTACTTTTCTTTGGGTGCTGTGTCCTTTATAAGCAAAAGACATGAGCACATTTACTCAAGCCTTGTATTAATAAGCAGGTGTGGCCAGGGGCGGACTGACAACTCATGGGGCCCCCTGGGCAATAGGGAAGCAAGGGGCCCTGTGTCCTCACCCACATTCAAAACCACACCCAAAATATCCTATGAAAGGTACTAGTGGCATCTCATAGGGCCCCTACTGACCCTGGGCCCTCGGGCAGTGCCCTAGTGCCCGAATGGTCAGTCCGCCCCTGGGTGTGGCACTCAAAGAAAGGTCAGGTCTGGATACAGTTTGCTTCTTTCACTTGTGCATCCATACATAGGAACGACCATGTAAATATAAGCCTACCTTCAAAATTTGAAACGTAATGAACCTGGCTTGATATTGAAGGACAGTCAAGTCTTCTTGATGTCCAGTTACCCAGGAGGAGGTGCTAAAATGTGAGACAGGGACTAGGTCAGTGGGGCTAGGTAAGTTAAGTCTTGCCCCATTGAACGAGTAAGGGACCATTTGTGTATAACCTGCAATGCTGTTATTATAAATCTGTCCCAAATCTAGGCAATTCAAATAGAACATTAGCTGAAAAAGTGCATCAGCAAAGATTACTCAACAGTACAAAAGAATGATCAAAAAGTAGCTAAATCCATATGCAACATTTGACTTTTACCTGTTAAAGTGCATGGACTTCAGCATGTGCGTGCAATGTATATAGATAGTATGCTTAGTTTTTCTTTTTTACTATACCCAAATAATCCTCTCCTACTGGCTGTGCAGTGTGGCACTCCCACCTGCTGCGCTGGTTTATATTTTGGAAGGGAAAGTTTTATTTTATCTTTATTTAAAGATTAAAGTTTAAAAAAAATGCCTAATTAGTTGGTAGATTTTCCAGCAAATTGGCTGATATTGTATACAGCTTAGATCCACAACTGACTGGACCAGATTCGTGTGCCTAGTTCTGTTTGGTTAAAAACAAACTAAAAGACCTAATGGCATTTTGTGATTAACATGCTGATATACAGAAACTGAAGTAAGTGTACCATGGTTGTGTTGTTTTGCTATATTAAAGACCCATTCCAACAATTGCTTTGTGGTGCAGTGTGTTAATGCTACATGTGTGCTAACAAACAGTATTTCACGCATTAACATGTTAGGGCAGCCTATTCAAAAAGCACCGCAACACATATTTTACAGGACAACCATTTTTTTTTTCAATGTCGTACACCACATCAAAGTTTTTTCACTTTAAGGTTTACCTAAAGTATTTATAACATTAGAGATAAAAAAGTTTTTTTCTGTTTCTGTAAAGGGTTCCCATATGATATCACTGTTTAAATTGTGTCTACAGTGCATCTCTATTATTCTTGGAAGTAAACTGAGCACGCTACTCATGGCAGCCGATACATGCTAGTGTGGTCAGTTTACGTCCTCTGTCATTCTGCTGTTATATACAGGCACACTGTACAATCGCACAGTGTGCCTGTATTCTTCCATGGTCAGTGTAAGTTGACCCTTCCTCCCATGCCTTCTCTGTTGATTAAAGGCAGCTTTCCAGCTAGCCAGTCCTCCTCCTCTTCTTTGTGATGCTGCAATGACATTTGCCCAGCACTGTACACTCCCCACATCACTCCTCCTTTGATTGATGGCGGCTTCCTGGCCAGCCAATCCTCCTTTTGGGAAGCTGCAATAACTCTGTACACATCCACATGTGGGTCTATGAATCATCTTAGCATGAACAGTGATCCTGTGACCTGCACTTAGCTAGCTGGAATATATATATATATATATATATATATATATATATATATATATATATATTTCTTAGATTGTAAGCTCCAAGGAGCAGGGCCATCCTATCTTGTATGAGGAAAGAACAAAGAGAGGGCGCACAGGCCTAGTGCATTACCATAAAAAAAGTTTAATAAGAAATAAAGTAGGTGTTGTACTCACAAACGAGAATAAAGTCAAGGCACGTCATAAAAGAATAGCTGGGTCAACAGAGCCCTGAGGAAGAGGCAAGTCCTCGAAACGAGTCAGCCTATTGGATGTCTACACTCCCCATTGCGGACTGTTACTCAATGCGGTGTTGACCCAGCTGTTCTTTTATGATGTGCCTTGACTTTATTCTCGTTTGTGAGTACAACACCTATTTTATTTCTTATTAAACATTTTTTAATGGTAATGCATTAGGCCTGTGCGCCCTCTTTTTGTTCTTTCCACATTCAGTATATTTGCATTCCCCCAGTCCATTTGAGGGCAGCAAGGTGTGCATGTTCCAGGACATTCTTAATGTGGTTTTAGCCTGCATAGAGTTCATCCCCAAGCGCAGGAGCATTTGTGTTTGCTGGTTCACCATCCTCTCTTGTATTGCACTGTGTCATTGCTGTATTGTCTCCCTTTATATTGTAAAGCGCTGAGCAAAACTGTTGGTGCTGCATGAATCCTGTATAATAATAATAATAATAATAGTAAAAAAAATGAGCATATGATATGGTAATGAACTTCACAACTACTTTAAGAGAAAATTTGAATGCATCCACTAAAATTTCATATAAACTTTAGCATGTTACAGTCATTCTCAGTCTTTTCAAACTTTGCAGCTTTCATTAAAATAATACTAAGGGATCATTCCCTGAAGGTCTTCGTTGATGTAATTCCTGTTACAGGAGGACAACTGTCTCCCAGTAGCGCTCTTGAATTGCCATACTGTCAGACATGATGCTAAAGGACACTACCAGTAATTGTACTAACACACATTGCGAAGGCATGATCCCTAATATGAAGTTCACCTTTAGCTATAGTGATCAGCCATTGCTAGGGTGCATGCACATAGGCTGGAAGTGCCTGCAAAAGAGTTGGAGGCGATCCAATGAGATGCAAAATAATGGTGTAAACTGTATTTTATAAGAAGAAAACATAGCAGTTGTTTATGATATGTAATGTTCAGAAAACTAAGGTGTTGATTTAGAAAGAGAGAGAGAGTGCAAAATCTAGTGCAGCTCTGCATAGGCACCAATCATCTTCCAGGTTTTATTGTGAAAGTTTAATTGAACGAAGTGCAGTTAGAATTGGCTGCCATGCAGAGCTGTGACCAGATTTTGCACTCTCCAGTTTTTGTAAATCAACCCCTAATTGTCATCCAGTAAAGGTTTAGATCTATTTAACCCTTTAGTCTGTTACAGTCACTACATACTGTATAAACTTTACTGGTCCTCAGAAAAGCTGGTAAATAAGAACCATGCTTCAGATGGCAGGAAAATATGACCTTATGTTTTATCACAGAACAAATACCATATTTTTCATTAATAAGTTGTGAAGTCCAGCAAACATTCTTTTTCTACAACTCTTTTTTTACTCGTTCACCTGTCCTTCGCGACAAATCTGTCCTTTCTTAAATCTAACACAGCATCTTAACTGAGGTACTTGACATCAATAGTGTGAGTCGATACAGGTTTAAAATATTAAGAAGCTTGTATGTGCTTTCTTTAAAGTAGTACTTGACTTTTACAGAATATTTTTTGAGAGTGGTGTATATGACCTCAACGAGATGTTCTGTTGAACTTTTCTGACACCAGTAAAATTTGTAGTTCTGCTGCAAAATGATAAGGAAAGCTTGACTTTTTTGGAAATACAGCTGTAAATGCGTTTATTAGATCCTCAAGGTCATTTACTGCTACCTTCTACAAAAAGACAAATTTGATTTTTGCCTGACATTTAGTCATCATGACTATAAAAAATCAATTATGTAATTTGCATTGGCATTACTGTAAATGGCAGTATAAATGAAAATGTTCCTAGCAATTGATGCCGAACTTGAAGCCTGGAGACATAATGCAACGTAGGTGCAGAGAATAACATATTGTACTGGTGGAACTGGGTCTTTCAACTTTAAATGATAACTTTTATGGTGCAAAGGCATAACTTTTTTAGTTTTAGAAGTTACCGTATTTTTCGCTCCATAAGACGCACTTTTTCCCCCAAAAAAAGGGGGGAAAATGTCAGTGCGTCTTATGGAGCGAATGTAAAGCGGCCAGTCCGGTATTTCTGCCGCCACCATGTCAGAATATCGGGCCGGCCACTTAGCTCTTCTCTCCTGCAGGACCTTACCTGTTCCTCGCTCCAGCGCTGCAGTCTTCCCGCGGCGGCTTCTGTGACAGCTGGGTGCCCACTGCTAATGCCCGAGAAGCGTTTCGCTTTGTGAATGGCCCGTCGTCTTCTGGGACACACGACAGGTCCCAGAAGGCTCCGGGCCATTCACAAAGCGCAGCGCTTCTCGCGCATGTGCAGTGGGCACCCGGCTGTCACAGAAGCCGCCGCAGGAAGAAGAAGGAAGGAAGGACAACTCCACGGAAGTAGGAGCGGGTACCTGTCAAATTCACCCCCTCCCTCCCCAAAGGTCCGCAGTCTCTGGTAATCTCCTTTACTGTCTGCAGTCTCTGGTCATCCCCTGCACTGTCTGCAGTCTCTGGTCATCTGTACTATGTCCACAGTCTCTGGTCATTCCCTGTACTGTGTCCGCAGTCTCTGGTCATCTTCTGTACTGTGTCCGCAGTCTCTGGTCATCCCTTGTACTGTGTCCGCAGTCTCTGGTCATCCCCTGTACTGTGTCCGCAGTCTCTGGTCATCTTCTGTACTGTGTCCGCAGTCTCTGGTCATCCCTTGTACTGTGTCCGCAGTCTCTGGTCATCCCCTGTACTGTGTCCGCAGTCTCTGGTCATTCCCTGTACTGTGTCCGCAGTCTCTAGTCATCCCCTGTACTGTGTCCGCAGTCTCTGGTCATCTCCTGTACTGTGTCTGCAGTCCCTTAGTTCAGAATAAAACCTAGGTGCGTCTTATGGTCAGGTGCGTCTTATGGAGCGAAAAATACGGTATATAGAAACTATTAGCAGGTTGTTTATTTTTTGATTTTTCTCTCCCACTGGAAAGATTTTCCTTCATTTCCTGCCCAGTGGACACAACAGAAAATGAGAGAACATTTCTCTCTTAAAGTCAAAACCTGTCTATTGCATACCATAAAAATTTATATAAGCCCGTACTGTGCACAGAAAGAAAGCACAAACTCGATGGTTGGAAGCTTTCTCAGTTTATTCTGTGATCATCAAAGACTTTATACAGTTAAGAGATAAGGTTGGATTGCATTACAACTAGTTAAGATAATGCATCTCTGTGCTTAGCAGCAGGATCATTGCTCACTGCATGCTAAGAAGACTAATGTTTAGTTCACACGATGAGAAAATCAGACGAAAAAATCCCACTTTCAAATTGATTGCCCGATAGTCTGATTGTTAGTATACAGCTTTTGAGAGCCGATCATGACAGTTCGTGCAAAATAATCCAAAGGGACAAGCACAAACATTTTTGTTGTACGATACCAGAATGAACAATTTTCATTCAATCAGTACAGTGTTCGTCCAAAAAGACCACACATGCTGAGAAATGTTACATCACTTCTGAAGTTGTAATCTGTCATACAAGAATTTTCTTGACTTTAGTAACCTCTTAATTTTTAACATGAGACTAGCATGCAAAAAAAAAAAAAATTAATACAGTCATTTGTCTGATATTCTCATAATGTCTATGAGGCTTTAGAAAGCAGCTGGACAAAGAATGCTTTAAAACGGGGACTGTATATAACTGATACAAACTCTAAGTGAGGCTCACTTGACTTGTACATCTTCAAACTGAAAGAAAATACCATCTTGAAGAGTTGCTACAAGAACAGGTGTCCCCATTGGAAGACCTAACCTCATCTCTTGATCTTCTCACAAGCTTCACATTTTGGATTTCCCCTGACTTTCTGTCTCTTTGATAATGGTCGCAAGACATACAGAGAGGTGATCTTTCCAGTGGGGAAACAGACAGCAAAAAAATTTTGACAAAAAGTCTAACTTTCCCTACTCTATCCAAAACTGAAAACAAAAATGTGCCCTTAATATATTTTTACCCTCCTGGATAGGGTTTGGGCCAAGGCAGATGCACAAGAGGCGCCTAGCTTTAGCACCCTGCTTAGGGGGGCACAGCTAGAACAGGGGCCTCTCCTGTCTCTGCTTCACCTGGTTGTCTTCTACATTGTTCAAGACTGAGCTGTCAAGCTGATAGCTCAGCCTTGCACATTACACAGGGAGATTGGGACTCTCCCTTTGTAACAGGCAACTTTCAGCATGTTAGTCGCTGAGTAAAACCAAGTTACCACACATACTATTTTATTTTTTTAACCAAAGAAATTCTGCATACCTTTCATACTGTTCCTCAATATTGTATGCGGTAAAACATCATTTAATAAAAGCTCTGCATTCTGTGTAATATCCAGTGACTGTACTCACTTAATCCCCATCAATATTGTCTGTAGAGGCTGATATTATGAGATAGCAGGTAGGAGCAATGATTATTTCTTAGATTAGTTTTACTGCACAGATGAGGGATTAAGATATATTTTCCCCAATGCTGATAAAGTAATCTTGTTTTCCACATGTAAATAAATAAGCAAAAGCATTGAGAAACTCCAGAAATGATTACATGCATGAATGTTGTACCTACTACATCTTCTGTCAGTTTTACAGCTTGTCCTAGTAGCATATCATATTTATAAACTATATTTTATTCATCATTATAATTAGGTCGTGTCTAGACCCTGCCATTTCTGAAAATTTCTTAGACTGTTTTTAAAATTTTAGGTTGGTAAAATGAATATCATAAATATATATTTGTATTCTCTATTTGATCTCACTTGACTTTCCCTGTGTTAAAAAATGTTTAGAACAAAGTCAGCCAGAAATGTAGTTGCTCATATAGCATACTAGTTTGAGAATGACCTCTAGAAACTCAAGCATAGTTTTCTCCATTTTAGTGTGACGCATACTGGAAGATTTGCTTCATCGTTTGGATTTATAGATCTTTATCACAGACTTTATTGTGGATTTTTATGTATACAGGGTTACCATATAATTGGATAGACACTTTGGGGGTTATTTACTAAAACTAGAGAGTGCAAAACCTGGTGAAACTCTGCATAGAAACCAATCAGCTTCCAGGTTTTAATGACAAAGTTTAATTGAACAAGCTGAAGTTAGAAGCTGATTGGCCACCATGTACCGCTGCATCAGATTCCGAGTGCACCAGTTTTAGTAAATCTACCCCTATGTTTATATAACTTTGAGGTTATATTTTGCACAATGATTTTTAATTTTGGCACTGAACCTTATCTCTTGTATACACCAAAATGCATGTAAATGCACTTTTGTGTGCTCCCATTGAAGTCTATAGGGCCAAAAATGCACTGTGTAGCACCACAAGAAGAACATGCACCTTTAAAAAATGCGTGGTTCAATGATGCATTGATGTGAAAGGACACTATACAGAATAATATGATTTCCATCGCTGTGCATTGCAGCACATAGCACTAGTGTGAACAGGGGCTCATTCCGTGATATGTCAAATAGAGGACTGTGCAGGAGAAGCTCTTCTCTTTAACCAATGTCCATATCACAACTGGAGTGTTATTCTGAAAGAGCAAATGGAACAGTTCTGTTTGAGTGTTAACATTACTGGCTGCTCATGTGATCGTGCTGCAAATCTAAGTGGGTGCTACAATGGAGTACAGGCTCACATCAAAACAATGTTGTGCAGTATTGTATACACATGGGTCCATGCTCATGTTTGTAATCTGGTGAATACTAATGTCTCACAGTATGCCACTCCTGAGAAATCAATTTTTGCTTTTTTTTTTTTAAACTGAACAGATCTGCCACAGATTCGTAGCCATGAAAGGACTCTCTAGACTTATGGTAGTTGGTGGTACTAGATGGTGGAGTAAGCTAAGACCACTGTGTACTATCTTTGGTTTCATTGTAGACTAATCAAAGGAATTACTTACTGTTCTACTGTACTACTGAATCCCCCAGATGTTATACTAAAGCTGTGAATGAGATCAAAATTCATGCTTGGACATGACCAAGACCAAATGGTGAAACCATTGGTCGCAAAAAGGTACCTCTTTGGAGCATTCTGTTAATGCTCTAATTAAAAGCCATTTGTTTCAGAAAAGGGTTGCAAGGAAAAACAAAAAGCCTGTAGAATTGTCACAGGATGTATCCCTATCTACGTCCTTTGAATAGTTTAGTATCAGGTTTTCTATATAATCATTGATCAGGCGACAAACAGCCTAGAAGAAAAATTCTCAAAAAAATGAAAGCGTTACTAAACCGCGGACCTTGCATTCACTATATCTGGTCTCCCACAGTACACAGAACATGGAATTGCAATTATTAATTATGGCACAGAGCAATCAAAGACATGAAATGAGCCCTATAAAAACAGCTCTTTCACATGTAAAAGTGGAGCATATTCAGAAATATACAAAAAATTACTAAGAAGATGGTAAATCAGCCGTCTGGGACACCAAGGCATCCAACCACGGCTACCATATATTGTTATATTGTTAAATTTTCAAGGACAGGCCCAACCCATGTATATAATTTTGTATTTGGGCAGGTGGCAAATGTATGAAATGGTTGGTGAAGCTGGCTTTTTCCAAAAAAGTAAGATAGCCTTGCGGGCATAAAAGAAAAATAAGCAAAATAGTGAGCGGCTGTGCGTTGGGACCACAAAAGCATCGAGGGTACCCAACAGTCAGACGTCCAGGGTTTTGGGTGTAGGGCATTCCAAGTTGAGCTCCAAGAGGGTGTGGAAATCAGAGCAGAATGACAAAATGACCGGTCAAGTCCAAAACATATGGAGAAGAGTCACTGCTATTTCACCACAGTTCGGACATGGAACAGGAACAGCTGGTGTCATCTTAGAAAGCCGTGAAAGTGTGTAGTGAAGATGATGAATGAATTTAAATTGTATGAACTGGTCCACCATACTGATGATATCATTGAAAACAGGTTTCAGTAACGTCTTCCCAGCCCTCATCTATGAGAGCAGGAATGCACTGCTGCCACTTCCTGTGCGAAGAGGCAAAAGGGTTGGAACCCTCAACCTGCAAATGCTTGTAGGAAAGCAGTGACCAATTTTAAATACATTTGTTTATTCTCCTTTGTTTTCACTGGAAAAATATTGCTAAAGTCTACATAACAAATGTCAACTCTTGAGGACTGGGTAATACAATGATTTCAGCTCTGTACCATTGGTTATCATACTTATTATAATTAGCGACACTTGCTTGACTAATTACTGATCAACCTCATCATACTTAGCAAGGCTTGGCAAATCTTTGTGTAAGCAATTTTAAGATCCTGTTTCTGTGCTGTTTTTTGGATGATGCTCATGGAGCACAATAATGTAGGTATCAGACTGAATCATTTGTGTATACAGTATTTGCACGACTGTGTTATAAATACAATAGAAATTATAATTCTTTTGTCTTAAAGTAGAGCACAACAAATTTTTTTATGTTCTTACAACACAATGCTCATCCGCAGAACAGTCTGCAATGACAATGATTTTAACTTTTTTTTCTTCTAAATACCTTATTTTTCTATATGTAGTCTGCACTTCCAGTCCCAGCCGCCTAGGCGATTATGTCGTTAGGCGATTCCATAGGGCTCCTGGGATATCACCATTCTCATTTAATTCAGGAACCTTTAGACCGCACTTGCCTTTCTTCCAGGTTCTGTGTTGGTTGACAAGTTGCCATAACAACGGGGTGGGAACTTTTGCCGCTGCCGCCATTGTTATGGCAACCTATAAGCAATACAGTGCGCCACACTGTGTCCTTTCTGCGCAGGCGCAAAATCGGGACGTGCATGATGGGTAGCCAGCTGCACAGAATCCCAGAAGCAAGTAGGAGCGGGCTTCAGATGCCCACACTAGCAATGGCCACTGCCTGTCTGCTGGGATCCTGTAATGAATGTCATATACAAGTAAGAAGAAGAAATACACTTATAACAGTATCCTTTTTTATGTTGTACATAGTTACGTAGTTAGTCTGGCTGAAAAAAGACAAAAGTCCATCTAGTTCAACCATTAAAAAAAAAAAAAAGTTATAATCCTATACCCACAGTTGATCCAGAGGAAGGCAAAAAAAAACCAGCAAAGCATGATTCAATTTGTTCCTGCAGGGAAAAAAATTAGTTCCTGATCCCCTGAGAGGCAATCGGATATTCCCTGGATCAACTTTACCTATGAATGAAGTAAAGAGAATCACAGGGGTGCCTTTTGTAGAAAGCAGCCAAGGTGACTGGAGCTCCGATTTAAGTTGTTGCATCAGAAATATGGTGGTGGATGTAGTTTTGTTGTGTTAAAAAAAGATGGATTTGCTAGATGGGCCCTCAGACCTAAGTTGCTCTGGTGGGCATCAGAATCTGCCCCTGCTAATGAACACAGCATCACTGTAATATGGTCACAATGTTCACGTTGATAGCAAAAAATGCTTCATTTGACTTCCCATTGATTTGTTCCTGACACAGAATACTCAGTTTCACATATTTCTCTTCGGTACAAGAAGAGAGAGAAAAGGTAATTGACTGAGTCATATTAGGGTACAGAAAATAGTTTGAAATTGTTTTTGCCGCAACCTGCTGAGAGCTGAAGAACATCTAAAGCATTTTTACAGGGAACAAAACGTTTGGCCGTGTTTTTAACCCTGTTCTTTGAGGGCTGAAGACAGCTTACATTAAAATGAAATGTACTGTCTAGAACAGTTAAGGATACAGGAAAGGGTTAATAATTGCTTTTACAGTCATTTTATTTCTCAGTACGGTGCTCAATTATTTACAGTGTCAGTGGGTTTTTATAGCTCCACTTTTTCCTTTTCCTGCTTGTGAATTGATGTGAAAATGTCAGTTGGCAATTATGTTAAGCACATCCTAATAATGCATTTTGGTCATCGCCGTGCCCTGGTTTTGTTCAGCACTCACTGACCATTGCCATTTGACATCATCTGGTGTTCCAAGCAGCTGTTCTTTTTTGCAAATGATTTGGGTAAAGCATAGTTAAACTGTATGTTCAGGTGAAGGACAAATAGAGAGGGTGAATATCCTCAGTGGGGATGCAGACAGCAATATAAGCCTGACAGGGGTTCTAAACTATTTTACTCTGTACAAAACTAGAAATAAAAGTTTTGAGTAAAATAAACTGTAAGGGAATAATAATCATTGTAACCATGATGAACCTTACTCAGCTTTAGGCAGTGTTGTTGTTCAGACTTTGCTGTCCTGGTCTGTGACAGGAGTCACTTTGGGTGGGGGGCCCATGTAACCCAGCTCACTTTAGAGAGGTGTGGAGACTCCTGTCTGAGCTCACCATATCCCTATTATGTGTAAGTCACCCTGTGCCTGTTAGGGGTACAGGGTGATCTGTCCTAATATTGGGGTGGGGGTTTGTTGATTGTTTAATGCCATGTGTTTGCATCCTATTATTCTATTGTGTGTCTTGTTTGGGAGCAAACTATTATGGGATGTATGTGTTTATGTATATTAGCTTAGTGGGGGAGGGGGGGGGGTCTCCAGCAGCCCTCCCTCCTGATGGGACTGTCTGTTGGTGTGAAGTTTGAATACCTGTCTCTTGTTGCTAAGTGTAGATTGCCCCGCACTGTGTCATTATGCAGGGAGGGGGGGATTTTCCCTTGAGTGTATAAATAAAGAGTTCCATGTTCAGATAGACTGGTGTCGTCTAGTCTTGTTTGGTCGGCTGTGGTGTCTGTGGTCGGTGTTAGGACGGAAAGCAGTATTCTAATGGAAGTACCCAAACACAGACTGGGTCAGTTCTGTTACTTTGTCCATGTGATATAATATTCTGAAAATTGCTCTCTTATTATTATTATGCAGAATTTATACAGTGCCAACAGTTTGCTCAGCACTTAACAAAATAAACTTTGGCTACTTTCACACTGATCCGCCGCAAAAACACAGCAAAAACGCATATGCCTTTTTACCACGCTTTCTGAGCGTTTTTAAAGGACACGTGACTTAAAAACTGCACCAAAAACCCGTCTCAGAGGCATTTTTCAGACATTTTTCATTGATTTCAATGTGAAGAGGC